TCTACTGTCTATAGAAGACCTGGAGGTCTTCTATTGCCTATAGAAGACCTGGAGGTCTTCTATTGCCTATAGAAGACCTGGAGGTCTTCTATTGCCTATAGAATACCTGGAGGTCTTCTATTGCCTATAGAAGACCTGGAGGTCTTCTATTGCCTATAGAAGACCTAGAAGCCTTCTATTGTCTATAAAAGACCTGGAAGTCTTCTATTGTCTATAGAAGATCCGGAGGTCTTCTACTGTCCATAGAAGACCTGGAGGTCTTCTACTGTCCATAGAAGACCTGGAGGTCTTCTACTGTCCATAGAAGGCCTGGAGGTCTCCTATTGGCTATAGAAGACCTGAAGGTCTCCTATTGGCCATAGGAGACCTGGAGGTCTCCTATTGGCTATAGAAGACCTGGAGGTCTCCTATTGGCCATAGGAAACCTGGAGGTCTCCTATAGTCCATAGAAGACCTTGAGGTCTGGAGGTCTTCTATTGCCTATAGAAGACCTGGAGGTCTTCTATTGCCTATAGAAGACCTGGAAGTCTTCTATTGTCTATATAAGATCCGGAGGTCTTCTACTGTCCATAGAAGACCTGGAGGTCTTCTACTGTCCATAGAAGACCTGGAGGTCTTCTATTGTGTATAGAAGAACTGGAGGTCTTCTATTGTCTATAGAAGAACTGGAGGTCTTCTATTGTCTATAGAAGAACTGGAGGTCTTCTATTGTCTATAGAAGAACTGGAGGTCTTCTACTGTCCTTAGAAGACCTGGAGGTCTTCTACCGTTTTTAGAAGACCTGGAGGTCTTCTACAGTCCTTATAAGACCTGGAGGTCTTCTACGGTCCTTAGAAGACCTGGAGGTCTTCTACGGTCCTTAGAAGACCAGGAGGTCTTCTACGGTCCTTAGAAGACCTGGAAGTCTTCTATTGTCCTTAGAAGACCTGAAGGTCTTTTACTGTCGTTAGGGGACCTGGAGGTCTTATATCGCCCATAGAAGGCTTGGAGATATACTTTTCATGGTCGTTTCTTTAAAAATGATTAAAAATTTATTGGTCCTTTAATGGGTCTTAGTCCTTAAATTTCTTATGCTTTGACAAATGTCCTTAAGAACTCCTCGTTTAGATATGAAAGATATGATCCTTATGCACGAAAAATCCTTAAAATTCCCGTTCGCGAAGAGAAATCTGCAACATTTTATTTTTTTTTCTCCCTCAATTACCCCATCTTCTCTTCGTTACTTGTCTGTCATTTGCACTCGTCCTTGTAACCTGTTAAAAGTCTCTCTTTTTTTTATCAATTTGACAACATCTTTGTCAATACGCAAATAAGCTAAATTGTCAAATTGAACAGAGGCTTATCCTTGTTCTTGTTGTTATCTTCTTATTTGCTTATATCCTTTGCAAAAATAAAACAATTCAAAGACACATTCACGAAAAGGATACCAATCAACCATGTAAATTGCCATCGCCCAAAAGGGGCGACGACGCGACGAGGAGATGCCAATTTTTGTTTGAAGTTGTTGTCTCGGTAAAATATTTTAACAACACTTGCAAAATTACGGTGTTAATGCAGTTTACTTTGAAAGAAAAACGAAAACGAACGATTTAAATGGTATGAGGGGAGGGAGAGATGGAGAGATCAAAGGAATTGTTATCCTGTTGTTGTTTGTGGGGAATTTAAGATATAAAAGCATTGCTCTTTTAGCAACCCCTCCTCCCACACACTCAATCCTTTTCTCTGTATTGACAGCAGCATCTTCATCGTCATCGTCATCGGCATCAACACCAAACATAAATCCTTTAATGCTTCATTTACTTTTATTTCGGTCCTTGTTTGTATTTGTATTGGGTGGGCAAACATGCATGAATCTCCACATAGGACATATGTGTTATTTGGATGATTGGTGTTGATGGTGTTGATGGTATTGATGATGATGGACACTTGTATGTGTCAAATAAATGGCTTGCTTTAATCCTTTTTTTCTCCCTCCCTCCCTCTCCCCACATACTCAAAGTGCTACTGTAGAAATCTGTTGAGTTCTGATGTTTTTTTGAGGTTATGTTTACCAATTGTTTCCCATTTATAAAGGACTATTCTGCCTTTGCCATTCATTTACCAAATAGGGAAGACAATCACTGGCTGATTGCCTCGGATTGATGATGTCAATGACGATGATGGTGGCGATGTCTTTGTTTGTTGTTTTGATTTCCAAAAAAGGGTTTTTATTTTCGAATTTCTGCTACTGATTGAATGTGTAAATATCCAGGGATAGTATTGGCAAATAGTGCCTGAAAGCAATCCTTATTTTTGTAGTGGACAGCCGAGAGGATTTGGGACATGTTTAATATTTTGAAGGATTATATTTTAAGAAAGCTCAACTTTATTCGCTTTAATTGGAGACTAGAAAACTTCAGGACAGGAGAAGACCTCTAGATCTTTTAAGGATACTAGAAGTACTCTGGGTTTTCTAAGGACACTAGAAGACCTCCAGGTCCTTTAAGGTCATGAGATGACCCCACAGGTCTCTTAAGCCCATCAGAACACTTCAATCTCTTCTTACGACACCAGGGCTTCTAAGGACACTTGGACACCATCAGGTCTTTTATGAATACCAGAAGACCTCCAGGTCTTCTAAGGACACTAAAATACCTTCAGGTCTTCAAAGACCTGCAGGTTTTCTAGGAAAACTCGGAAACCCCAACGTCCTTGAAGGACACTTAAAGACCTCCAGGACCTCAAGGGCACAACAAGATTGTCTTTAAAGGACACTAGAAGACCCCCAGGCCTTTTAAGGACACTAGAAGAAATCTAGGTCTTCTTGGGAAACTAGATTTCTCCCTACTTCTTCTAAGGACACTAGAAGACCTCTAAGTCTTCTTAGGTAACCGGAAGACCTCTAGGTCTTCTGAGGACAATAGAAGACTTCCAGTTCTTTCAAGGACACTGAAAGATCTCCAGGTCTTCTAAGGACACTAAGGTCGTTGAAGGACACTAAAATACCTCCAGTTCTTTTAAGAAACTGAAAACTTTTCATATTTTCTCAGGACACTAGAAGACCTCTATGTTATCTCAGGACATTAGAAGACCTCCAGGTCTTCTAAGGACACCATAAGACTTCCATGGCTTCAATGGACTCCAGAAGACTTCCAGGACACTAGAAGACCTCTATGTTATCTCAGGACATTAGAAGACCTTTAGGTCTTCTAAGGAGACTATAAGACTTCCATGGCTTCCATGGACTCCAGAAGACTTCCAGATCTAAGGCAATAAGAAGACCTCCAGATCTTCAACGGACACTAGAAAGCCTCCAGATTTTCTAAGGACACTAGAAAGCCTCCAGGTCTTCTAAGGATACAAGAAGACTTCCAGATCTTCTAAGGACCTTCAGGTTTTATTATGACACTAGAAGAGCTCCAGGTCTTCTAGGGACACCAGAAGACCCCTAAGTCTAGACATAAGAAGACCTCCAATTCTTCTTAGGAAACTTGAATACATCCAAGTCTTCTAAAGATTCTAGAAGACCTCCGCGTCTTCTATGAAAACTAGAAGATATCCAGGACATCTATTAAAACTAGAAGACCTTCTAAGGACACTAAAATACCTCTAGGTCATAAAGTGAAACAAAAATACCTCCAGGTCTTCAATGGAAGTTAGGATACCTCCAGGTTTTCTATGGACACCAAGTCTTCTTAGACACTAGAAGACCTCCAGGACTCTAGAACATCATCAGGTCTTCTATGGAGACTAGAAGGCCTCCTTTTTCCAATGACACTAGAAGTCCTTCAGGTCTTCCAAGGAGACTAGAACACCTCCAGATATTTTAAGGATGCTAGAAAACAACCAGATCTTCCAAGGACCCTGGAAGTCTTCCAGGCTTTTAGTGTACACTAAAATACCTCCCGGTATTCTAAGGACTCTAGACGATCTCCACGTCTTCTTAGAACACTAGAAGACACTCATGTCTTCTAAGGACTCGAGATGACTTCCTGGTATTCTAAGGTCACTAGAAATCCTCCAAATCTTCTAAGGAAACTGGAAGACCTCCAAGTCTTCTAAGGACACTAGAAGAGCTCCAGGAGGACTTCCATGGAAAGTCCTGCAAGTGTTCTATGACACTTAAAGCCCTCCTATTCTTCTACGTCCTTGTGTTTCCTCCTACCTCAGTCTTATCAAAATCACTCTCTTATTTCCTAGCCAAGAATTGCCCGTCAGGAGTAATTTAAGCGACTTTTAATAACCATAACCTCTGTGAATGATTTGTGAAAAGGAAGTTTTTTTTTTCGCTTCTTCCAAATTCATTCAAGCCATAATTATAATCTGACGCTAATTATGCTTCTGATGAAGGCTAAGGTCATAAAGTGAGCGCTGTTTAATTTTTATTCCAAATTCAGTTTCATGTCTTAACTATGGGGCTAAAATTAATGCATGCCATTTTGGAACAGTGGAAAAATCCTCCCTAATTTACCACAAAGGTTACGCTCACAGTAAATTTCGGACACAAAAAAAGGACACTGGCCGTATATTTATTTAAGATTTATGGGCTGATTTAATTGCATTACACGAATGGCCATAGCAAACGTGGAGTTGTATTAAAAGTAATGAATGAGGAGGAGAATTTGGGGGGAGGGGAATGATGAGAGGAGATGAGAACTTTTGCAGAATAAGTTAAAGATGTCTGGGTTGTTTTATGCCCGGGCTGGGGGGAGGTACCAAGGAAGTTTTGTTTTTCTTTATTTAAAATGACAGACATTTGATTTTCTTGGCCCTGGCAAACATTTCATTTTTATTTGCCAACAAACAAACAGTGGCTGTCGACCATAGAATTTAGAATAATGGTTGCGAAATGTGTTTGGTGTAAAGTGTGGGAAGTGTAAACAATAAAGACAAAGTGTCGAGAGGGGAGGGGGGGTCTCAATTTCCCTCTTCCCTCCCTGGGGAGATGTTGATTTGATGTATTATCTTGTAATGTGTTGAGATTTTAATTGTAATTTTTCCTCTCTCTCTCTCTCTTCCAGATACTATTACGACAAAAACATTATGACCAAGGTCCATGGCAAACGTTATGCCTATAAATTTGATTTTCAAGGACTTGCCGCCGCCACCCAGCCGGCGGCCAGCGATCCCACCTATAAATATCAAAGTGATTTATTTATGACACCATATCATCATAGCGCCAAATTGAGCTCGTTTATGAGTCCGCATCATGGAATGACATCGTCATCAGGTAAGATGAGAACAATATATATATACAGGGTGAGATAAAAACTGCAACAAAATCAAATGCCAACATTTTTAGACTTTTTTTTTAAAATTTTATTAAATGAAAGCAAAAAATGTCGGAAATAGCATCAAATTTTAGAATAAGTTTAGATTTGTTCGAACTGGTAACCTTCAGCACAAATTATGGCCCTCAAACGGCCAATGAGACCGTCACACACTGCCCGAATGTTGCTCAGCGGTATTTTGGCCCATTCACGGAGAAGCGCTTGCTTGTTGTGATCGACACTTTGGTATTTTTTAGTGCCAACCTTGCTTTCCAAAATACTCCAGACACAATAGTCCAACGGATTGGTATCCGGAGATTTTAGTGGCAATTGTGCGCTGGAATAGAAACGAGGAACCTCATTTTGTAACCATTCTTGGGTGGCGTGTGCTGAGTGCGATGGTGCTGAGTACTGCTGGAATATCCAAGTTCTGCGCTTTGTTCGAATTGGCACGAATTATGGTCTTCAAATGGCCAATGGAACCGTCACACGCTGTCCGAATGTTGCTCTGCGGTGTTTTGGCCCATTCCCGGCGAAGCACTTGCTTGAGGTGATCGACACTTTGTTATTTTTTAGTGCCACCCTTGCTTTCCAAAATACTCCAGACACCATAGTCCAACGGATTGGTATCCGGAGATTTTGGTGGCCATTGTGCGCTGGAAATGAAGCGAGGAACCTCATTTTGTAACCATTTCTGTGGTGGCGCGTGCTGAGTGCAATGGTGCTGAGTCCTGTTGGAATGTCGAAGGTCATTTGCGTGCCCAAGGCTTTAATATACCCTCCAGAATTTTTTTTCGCGATAATATTTGACATTTATTCTGATACCACAGTCGATTAATACGAGCGGAGAGCGACTATCGGCTGATATGGCGGCCCACACCATCACCATGGCCGGCGCTTGAGTTCTGGTGGCCAACCTACCGAAGGTGCATATTTTCAGCTGACCTGTTTGGCAAGTAAACGCGATAATTTTGTTTGTTTACAAACTGCTAGACAACGAATGTTTTCTCATCGGAGAAAACCAAATTCGGCTGTTCACCACTTTCGGCCAAGCGATGCAACTCTTTAGCTCTTTTGAGTCTATTTTCTTTCTGTTCGGGGTGTAGGTTCATGCACTTTTTGGAATTTCAATGGCTTTACGCCGAGCTAATTTTTCAATATTTGCCGAATGGAATATTGTGATATGTTCAGCTCACGAGCCATTTTGCGGCCACAGCGACGTGGGTTTGGATCAAGTCGCTTCTTTACTTTTCGAACCATTTCTGCTGATGTTGCTGTTTTCTTCCGTCCACTTCCTTGACGTCGGGCTACGCTACCAGTATCACGGTAACCAGCGATGGTACGAGACACAAAAGATTTATTCACATTTAAATGCTGGAGTGCTCCAACGATAGCCACTTGCGGGATTCCAGCCAAATATAAAGAAATCATACTATCACGCTTGAATTCCGAATAACTTTTTTTCTGGAAAATTCTCACCAAAATATTTTTGTACGCTTGTAAAGAATATAATGAGCTGTCACTGGAATAATTTTAACAGCTGTCGGACAAGTGGCTTAAAAATGATGGCAGTCTGAAGTTTGTTTTATTTTTTTTTTTATTTTTTTATCGATAATTTCGGCATTTATTCTGATGCCACGGTCGATTAATACGAACGGAGAGCGACCATCGGCTGTTGGTTTTTTGGTTGCAGTTTTTTCATCTCACCCTGTATATATAAATTTACCCTAATAAAAATTGGAAATTCCCCCATTGCTCTATTGAAGCTCTAGCTGTAAGGGGCCTAAAAGTATGCTTTAATTTTTGTCAATTATGTGAGAGGCACTTTGAGAACTAGCGTTTATTTCAAAGTATTTTATGAAACCATGAAAATCGATTTCCGAAGAACTCAGGTTCCTTAAAAATTATTCCAAAACCTCAACTCTGCTTCGACAATAAATTCTCAGTCTCGACAATAAAATCTCAAAAAAATCACATTTTCATTAAATAATAAAATTTAATAATTATTCATTCATAATCGGGATAAGTTCATAACAATTGAGCAGTTTGACCTTAAGAAATATTCTCAAAAATTCCACGGCTGTATACGATTGCATTTGAAAAAATTCTTTGATATTCTGAAAAAATTTTGTGGTAAAATTTATTCCAAAAATTCCCTGAAATCCACCTTAGACATAGTTAAGCTCCTTAGATTCCCATGATTCCCCTGAAATCCACCTTAGACATTGCTAAGCTCCTTAGATTCCCATTATCAATCCAAGTTGATGTTAGTAAATTCAAAATTTATTTTTAAATTTTGATTTACAGCTTCTGGTCTGGCCTTAGATTTCCATCATCAATCCAAATTGATGTTAATAAATTCAAAATTTATATTTAATTTTAAATTTTGATTTACAGCTACTGGTCATTATTCCAAAATATTTCATTTTATGAAACCATAAAAATCGATTTCCGAGGAACTCAGATTCGTTGAAAATAATTGCCAATGTTGTACAATGTTGTGAGAGTCCTTGACAATAAAATCTTAAAAAAAAATCGAATTTGATGGCCTAATAATTTAACATAAATCGAGATAAGTTTATGACCATTGAGCACTTTGACCTTAAGAGATATTCTCAAAAATTCCACAGCAGTAAATTTTGCATTTGAAAATATTCTTTGAAATTCTGAAAAAATCTTGTGGGAAAATTTATTCCGAAAATTCCCTGAAATCCACCTTAGACATTGCTAAGTGCCTTAGATTCCGATTATCAATCCAAGTTGATGTTTGTAAATTAAAAATTTATTTGTAAATTTAAATTTTGATTTACAGCTCCTGGTCATTATTTCAACATTGTCTTTATTTGTTTTTTTTTACAAATTTGTCACCCATCTTATTAGATCATATTCAAACAAAATTTTCAAAATTTCAAAATTTTATGCTAATATAAAAATAAATATTTAATTCGTATTTATGTTTTATAGCTACCTTGTGTCTCTGTTTTGTGCGGTTTTATTGTGCCATTCGCGCACCATAAACTGGTTATAATTTATGGCTAGATTTATGAGCCATTTTTTTGCTATCGTTTCGATCGTTGTTCGATCAACTAACATTTCAAAAAAAAAAAAAAAAAAAAAAATCACTAAAAAACGTGAATTCCAAATCTTGAAATATAAACAAACAGAGTTTGGTTTTAAATTATGGGGGTGTATTGTCTGAGTGATTGAATTGGCTACTAATTAGCTAATTTATTGGATGATTGGGTTCCGGCAGACATTGTGGAGTCATGAGGAACTAAGCGCAATAATTTTTTGGGGATTATTTGGAGCGGAATGAAAACGGGTCTTGGTAACAGAAAAATTGTTAGATATTGGTATTAAAAGTTCTTTATAAAAAAAAAATAGAAAAAAATTATAAAATTTTAAAAAAAGAAATTTTCAACATTGTTTGTCATAAGGGCCGTGTTATATTATAATTTTCTTTAATAAATTTTCAGAAAAATTTTGAAGAATATTTAGAACAATTTCGCTATTTTTTTTTTTTTTAATTTTTCTTTGAGTTTTCGTGAATTTTTTAATGAGATGTAAAAGCAAAATTCATGAATTTGCCAACCGTGTGCATTTTAAACACCTTTAAAAATTTATTTTTAGTTATAATTTTGAAAAACCTTCCAGGTTAGTAGTTGTGATTTTCAATGAAATTTTTGTTAAGAATTTTTAAGGCCATCCAAAAAAAACCTTAACACTACACATTGCGAATTTAGTTGTCAATTCTTTTAGAGGATATTTAAGGGTGATAATCAACCCTTAAATATACCCTAAAACAATTGACAACAAAATCCACAATGTCTTGTCTTAATGGTCCTTCAAACAAAAAATCGTTAAAAGAATTGATGGCCTTAAAATCCTTTAAAAAATGCAATTAAAATCACAACTACTGACCTGGAAGGTCCTTCAAAATTATTATTAAATAATCAATTTTAAGGATGTTCAAACAAAAATGGTTGGAGATTTCATGAAGCTCTTAAAAAAATTGTGAAAGGCATCAGGAATTCTTAAAAAAACCGAATATCCGCAAATATTGGCCTTAAAGGTCATTAGCATGAACAAGTCTTAAAGAAATTGAAAAAGTAAAAAATAGGCAAAAATCCACGATTATTGGCTTTTAAGGTCCTTTCCAAAAGTTATAAGGATTAAGGATACCTGTAAACACTTCGTAATATGGAACATGGCTATATTTTTTAAATGTCGTTCATAAATTCGTTGAAATATTTTTCATTTATATTTTGAAAAACCTCGATAGCTAATCTCTACAAAGATTCCCACAATTTTTAGCCTCAAACTTGATTCTTAATTTCTTTGAATTATATCCTAAAAACTTCACTAATATTGACCTCACAGGTCCTCAACAAAACATAAAACCCTAAATATATTTTAAATTCCGTATAAAAATTCGTTGAAACTTTATTAAATTTTACTTGAAAATTCACCATTGCAAGTCTATTAAGTCCTTTGAAAAAATAAAGAAATATTAGATATTTTGAAAATTAGTTCTAAAATTCTTTGAAAAAAAAAAAAAAAACAATTCGTTAAAACGTCCTTCGTTTCATTGCTTCTCATTAATATTGTTACTAAGCGTCCTCAAAATTGCTTTGATAGGTTCTTAAGTCCAGGTGAATCCTTCAAATCCGCAACAGTTTCGTCAAAGAAAATCCACAATGGTTTCCTCCAAAGGACTTTAACAAATTATAATCAATGGAGGTTGATTCTAAAGCTCCTTCAAAAATATTTCACGATTACTTCGTTATGAAAAAGGTCATAATTTCCGGTTTCAAGGGCTCTTTGAAAATTGTGACCCTTCGTGGGGGAGGTATCAGAATGGGTGGGTCGAAATCTACCATCGTTACATAAGATCTTGTGTTGGAAGAAATTATTCAAAAATGTTCACCCTTTGTCGGAAAGGTGCAAGAAGGAGTGGACCGATCGCATCCCATCTTCACTGCAGATCTGCTGTTAGTAGAAATAATGGTATATGTGAAATATGAATAGAACCAAATGTTAATTTTGGATTTTAGGATCGTTTTGGTTATTGAAAATGTTGACCCTTTGTGGGGGAAGTACAAGAAGTAATGGTCCGATCTTTATGACATTTATAACAGTTCTTCTGTTGATAGAAATATAGATATGTGTCAAGTCTAAATGGAATCGCATACAAATTTTGCGTTTTATGAGCTTCATGTATATTCAAAATTTTGACCCTTTGTGGGGAAAGTACCAGAAGGAGTGGACCGATATATTCTATCTTCACACCTGACTTTGGGGTTGGGGTTGGTCGTATGGATCCTTTAAAAAATATTTAAAAAATCGTTCCAATATTCATTTTAATTCGCTGACTACTGGTCTCAAAGGTCATTCAAATAAATTTAAGGACTTCTCTTCGAAAATTCTTAATGTCCCTCAAAAAAATCTTCAGAAATTCATTCAGAACATTATTAATGAATCCAGGATTATTTGTTTCAAAGTTTCTACGTCAAAAATTTAAATTAACTCCTTGATTAAGATGTTGAGTGTCCTGGGATACTACTTTAAAAATCCAGTATTTGTAAAGAAAATCTAAATTCTTAAAGGATTTGCAGATTATTTAGAATTTTGTAATGACCTAAATGGATCGAATAAAAATGAGGAATTTGTCGTTTTTTAAGTACCCTTTGAGACTTCTTACAAAAAGTCCCTAAAGGATCCAAGCTTGTTCCTTAAAAAATTATTTAAAAAAATCATAAAATTTTGGTATTAAAAGTTCTTTAAAAATGGTTAAACTTCAAGATTGTTCTTGGAAAATTCATAATGAAAGCTCCTGAAGGTCCTTAAAAAATTTGTTTAAAAGATCCTTTAAAATTTCTTTAAAAAATCCATGATTTTTGGTTTAAAAATTCTAAGAAAATTCATAAATTTATTCAATCCGGAGTGCTTGGTGTTCAGGGTTTTTTAAAAAAATTCTTTACAAAATTCTAAATTTTCAGGGGTCCTTCAAATATGTCCTTAAATACATAATTATTGGTGTTATGGACCTACAAACTATCTTTTAAAAATATGGTAATTGTCGGTTTCAGGGGTCCTTTAAGGTTCCTATACAAAATCCAGTTCTTCCAACAAAATCGTAATATTCTTAGGCTTTAATGCCATTCCAATCAAATCCTAAAATCATCCCTGAATAGAAAAGTCCTTGAAACTAATTCTTAGAAGAAAATGTAGAATTTTCAAACTTATCAATTTATTAACAATTTCTTAAATAATCTGGGGTTTTCGTCTGTTCGGTCTAGAACAAACTTATTTTGAAAAAAAAAAAAAAAATGCGTCACAAACTCAATATTTTTAATAGGTAAGGTCTAGACAAATCCTTTAAAAAAATATGCGTTGCTGTTCTGTTAGGTCTAGAAAAATACCATAAAAAATCTACTTTTGGTCCTGAAAAAAATCTTAAAAATTTCTTACAAAATTGTCTACAATTTTTCATCTGTTTGTTCTTCAAAATATCCTGAAATCGAAGTTTATTGTCCTAAAAGTAATTGAATTTATATTTTGGAAAATAGACGTTTTTTGATCCGTACGTCTCTTAAAAACCCACCTGGGATAACCTGGTAGTTTAAATAATATTTATTCTTTAAAAATCCAGGTTTGTTATTGATCATTGGGTACTTGGAAAACATTTAAATAATAAGTGTTTTTTTTTTTTTGATTATTTGAGCCATGATTTTTTTAAATACGACGGTCCTTAAATGTCCCTGAAAAATATTCTTAAAAATTCACATATTTTGGTTTCAAACATATTTTCTTAAAAAATCGATATATTTTTTTAAACAGGGGATCCTTGATAAAATACGTTTTTTTATATTAAAGACAGATAGTCTTAAAAATGCCAGGACTGTTAGTCTGAAAATCCTGAAAAATATTTTTTTTAATTAAATATCTTTTAAGAATCCAGGATATCCTAGAGAAAATATTTCTTGTTTTTAAACCAGGAGATTCTTGAAATTTTATTTATTCTAAATCAAGGACCGTTAGTCTTAAAATCCTTGAAAAAATATGTTTTTTTTTTTAAATTAAATATCTTTTAAGAATCCAGGAGATACTTGGAAAAATATTTTTTTGTAAATCAAGGACGACTAGTCTTAAAATTGCCAGGATTGAAAATCCCTAAAAAATATTTTTTTAATCTAGGACTGCAAGTCTTAAAATCCTTAAAAAAATTAAGTAATTGAGAAAATATCTTTTATCCAGGATATCCTTAAGAAAATTTTTCTTTTAACCAGGAGATCCTTGATAAAATATTTTTTTTTTAAATCAAAGAAAATCCTGAGAAATAATTTTCAATTTAGAACTGCTAGTCTTAAAAAAAATTTAAATTTTTGAGAAAATATCTTTCAAGAACCCAGGATATCCTTGAGAAAATATCGATATTATTTTTCTCTAACCCATTTAAAAAAATTTATTTTTATAAAAAAATATTCTTAAAATTACATTTTCAATGATCCTTGAGTCTATAAAAATACTCCTTTTGTACTCGAAAAATATTCTTAGAAATTCTCTTTTAATTGACCTTGAGTCCTTAAAAACTACTATCCTATTTGCTCTCAGAAACTCCCTTTTGTGGCTCTTTTTTTTTTCAAATGAAATCCTTAAAAATTGTTAATTAAATAAAATTAAAAAATTTCAAAATTTTAAAACAAAATCAAAAAATTCTCGATGACATATTTGTACTCTTTAAGGAAATCTTAAAGAATCCATTTCATCGAATAGCCCTTGTGCTCGTTTTTATATTTAAATATTTTTTCAAAACGTTGTCAACATTGCATGTTTGTAGGCTTTCAAAACCTATCCTTATTTTTATTTCGAATATTTTCAATATTTTTTCATTATAACTTTATCATTTACTAATTTCGTCTCTCCATCTCCATCTATTTTTAGCTTCCATCTTCCCGTCGGCCGCCTCCTGGGGTAACTGGGGTAATCACTCGAATTTGTATCAACCCCATTCGATGGGCCATGTAACACCCTCCCACGTTGCTCCCCATCTGAGCTCATATCCCCACTACGCATGACCATCATCGTCCGGTGGTGGCTTCTAATATGAGAGCAACGCCATCGCTGGTAGCAGTGGGGCACATTCAATGCATTCAAGTGGCGTCGGTACAACAGCTGGAACAACATCGAGTGCTGCGGCGGCAGCCATTAATGCTGCCACCCTACACAATCTCCAGTCGGCGGTTAGTTCCAGCACCAATATGTCGAGCGGTCTAATCAACAACTCGAGCAGTGGCGTCGGCGGCGGTGGCAGCGGTGTCGGCGGTGTTGTTGGCGGCTTGAATAGTGCCCTCCAAACGGGCAGTAGTTTGAACCACAATAGCCTCAGTCTAAGCAACAGCAGCAACAGCGGTGGCAGCAACAGTCTCATCAATGGCAACCATCTGAATATAGCAACAGCAGCCTCTCTAACGACCAGCCATTCGCATGGCATGGGTGTGGGAGCGGGCAGTGGATTTGGGGCCCTGGGTGTTGGCGTCGGTGTCGGGGTGGGTGGCAGTAATTTGAACTCGCTCGTTGTGGGTAATCGTCTGATGAATTCGGGTCTGACGACAATACTCAAATGATAACATATGGCTGACTACGGTCTGAGCTTGAGCGGCGCCAACAATGTCGGCGATGGGCGTTCGACGACAACGGCAGCAGCGGCGGCGGTAATTAATGCAATCGAACCACTGACACCCACCACATACAGTCCTCCGTTTCCAGAGGCGCCAACATTTTACAGGCACATTAAAGGTGAACAACCATATTGAACGAGACCACCAACAGCAACAGTAACAGAAATAACGTACATACCCCCAGAAAAAATGTAAGAGGAGCCCCTCCTCACCCCCATCAAAAATCCTCTCTCTTACCGTTCCGAAAAAAAAACAATTCCCCTCCAAAATATGAAAATACTAACGAATTTTTAAATGTTGTTATAAATAAGTTCAAGCGGATGGACGATAAAGGTTATTACTTGTCTATAAAAGAAAACATAAATCCTCCCCATTTGGGTTAGTCCAAAGAAAAGTGGGTCCAAAATGGTTCAATTGGATAATATGTATGTTTATCTAGGACTGAAAATTCTTAAAAAAATGTTTTTTTTAATCCAGGACTGCTAGCCCTGTTTTATTTTTAAAACCAGGAATGTTAGTCTTAAAATCCTTGAAAAAATATTTTTTTTAAATTATTGAGGAAATTTCTTTTAAGAATCTAAAATATCCTTGAGAAAATATTTTTCTTTAAACCAGGAGAGCCTTAATTTTTTTGTAAATCAAGGAATGCCAGTCTTAAAATCCTTGAAAAAAATATTTTTTTTAAATTTTTGAAAATAAATCTTTTAAGAATCCAGAATATCCCCAAGTAAATATTTTTCTTAAACCTGGAGATCCTTGAAAAAAATATTTTTTTTCTAAATCAAGGATGGCTAGTCTTAAAATTGCCAGGATTGAAAATCCCTAAAAAATATTTTTTTTAATCTAGGACTGCAAGTCTTAATATCCTTGAAAACAAAATTGAAGTAATTGAGAAAATATCTTTTACCCAGGATATCCTTGAGAAAATATTTTTTTAACCAGGAGATCCTTGATAAAATACTTTTTTTTAATCAAAGAAAATCCTGAGAAATAATTTTTAATCTAGGAATGCTAGTCTTTAAAAAAATTAGAATTTTTGAGAAAATATCTTTCAAGAATCCAGGATATCCTTGAGAAAATATTTTTTGTTTTTAAACCAGGAGATCCTTGAAAAAATATTTTAGTCTTAAAATCCTTTAAAAATATATATTTTTTTAAATTTTTGAAAAAATATGTTTTAAGAATCCAGGACATCCTTGAGGCAGTATTTTTTGTTTTTAAACCAGGAGATCCTTAAAAAAAATATTTTTATTGTTGCAAAATGGTCAGGCTTATCCCTTTATTGTTGTTTTTATAAAAACAACGTTTGTTTATTAGTGGAGAACGATGGTAATGTTTACCAGGGGGTAAGGCAGGGAATACCTAGGTTTCGGAAAGAGCCACCAATCCTCATCAGTTCCCTTGTTTTTTGTCTGGGATATTCTCCCCAGAAGTTATTTTAAAAATAACTTCTATGACAAAAAGCATTTTTACCCAAGTGACGAGATCGTAAGCTCAATAGAAGAGGAACCAAAGAATTAAATAAAACTAAAATTCTCTTGGAAAGTCTTCTAAATCTTACAACCGCACTTATAAACATTTTCATCTTTCTCCACTTGTTATGCTTTCGTTCAGCCTGAACGAAGTAGCATAACCATGTAAGTTGGTTTTGTCTGTTACAACACAAACCCCTTCGTCGACCGTGCCTTGTCTATAAATAGAACAGTGTGGCTTGTTTGTTCGGGATACCGTAGTATTTTGTTGTTGCAAAATGGTCAGGCTTATCCCTTTATTGTTGTTTTTATAAAAACAACGTTTGTTTATTAGTGGAGAACGATGGTAATGTTTACCAGGGGGTAAGGCAGGGAATACCTAGGTTTCGGAAAGAGCCACCAATCCTCATCAGTTCCCTTGTTTTTTGTCTGGGATATTCTCCCCAGAAGTTATTTTAAAAATAACTTCTATGACAAAAAGCATTTTTTACCCAAGTGACGAGATCGTAAGCTCAATAGAAGAGGAACCAAAGAATTAAATAAAACTAAAATTCTCTTGGAAAGTCTTCTAAATCTTACAACCGCACTTATAAACATTTTCATCTTTCTCCACTTGTTATGCTTTCGTTCAGCCTGAACGAAGTAGCATAACCATGTAAGTTGGTTTTGTCTGTTACAACACAAACCCCTTCGTCGACCGTGCCTTGTCTATAAATAGAACAGTGTGGCTTGTTTGTTCGGGATACCGTAGTATTTTGTTGTTGCAAAATGGTCAGGCTTATCCCTTTATTGTTGTTTTTATAAAAACAACGTTTGTTTATTAGTGGAGAACGATGGTAATGTTTACCAGGGGGTAAGGCAGGGAATACCTAGGTTTCGGAAAGAGCCACCAATCCTCATCAGTTCCCTTGTTTTTTGTCTGGGATATTCTCCCCAGAAGTTATTTTAAAAATAACTTCTATGACAAAAAGCATTTTTTACCCAAGTGACGAGATCGTAAGCTCAATAGAAGAGGAACCAAAGAATTAAATAAAACTAAAATTCTCTTGGAAAGTCTTCTAAATCTTACAACCGCACTTATAAACATTTTCATCTTTCTCCACTTGTTATGCTTTCGTTCAGCCTGAACGAAGTAGCATAACCATGTAAGTTGGTTTTGTCTGTTACAACACAAACCCCTTCGTCGACCGTGCCTTGTCTATAAATAGAACAGTGTGGCTTGTTTGTTCGGGATACCGTAGTATTTTGTTGTTGCAAAATGGTCAGGCTTATCCCTTTATTGTTGTTTTTATAAAAACAACGTTTGTTTATTAGTGGAGAACGATGGTAATGTTTACCAGGGGGTAAGGCAGGGAATACCTAGGTTTCGGAAAGAGCCACCAATCCTCATCAGTTCCCTTGTTTTTTGTCTGGGATATTCTCCCCAGAAGTTATTTTAAAAATAACTTCTATGACAAAAAGCATTTTTTACCCAAGTGACGAGATCGTAAGCTCAATAGAAGAGGAACCAAAGAATTAAATAAAACTAAAATTCTCTTGGAAAGTCTTCTAAATCTTACAACCGCACTTATAAACATTTTCATCTTTCTCCACTTGTTATGCTTTCGTTCAGCCTGAACGAAGTAGCATAACCATGTAAGTTGGTTTTGTCTGTTACAACACAAACCCCTTCGTCGACCGTGCCTTGTCTATAAATAGAACAGTGTGGCTTGTTGTTCGGGATACCGTAGTATTTTGTTGTTGCAAAATGGTCAGGCTTATCCCTTTATTGTTGTTTTTATAAAAACAACGTTTGTTTATTAGTGGAGAACGATGGTAATGTTTACCAGGGGGTAAGGCAGGGAATACCTAGGTTTCGGAAAGAGCCACCAATCCTCATCAGTTCCCTTGTTTTTTGTCTGGGATATTCTCCCCAGAAGTTATTTAAAATAACTTCTGACAAAAGCATTTTTTACCCAAGTGACGAGATCGTAGCTCAATAGAAGAGGAACCAAAGATTAAATAAAACTAAAATTCTCTTGGAAAGTCTTCTAAATCTTAAACCGCACTTAAAACATTTTCATCTTTCTCCACTTGTTATGCTTTGTCATAGAAGTTATTTTTAAATAACTTTGGGGAGAATATCCCAGACAAAAAACAAGGAAACTGATGAGGATTGGTGGCTCTTTCCGAAACCTAGTATTCCCTGCCTACCCCCTGGTAAACATTACCATCGTTCTCCACTAATAACAACGTTGTTTTTATAAAAACAACAATAAAGGGATAAGCCTGACCATTTTGCACAACAAAATACTACGGTATCCCGAACAAACAAGCCACACTGTTCTAAAAATTATTTTTTTGTAAATCAAGGACGGTTAGTCTTAAAATGCCAGGGTCTTAAAATCCTTGAAAGAATATACTTTAAAATTAGTGAGAAAATAACTTTTATGGATCCAGGACATTCTTGAGAAAATATTTTTCTTTAAACCCGGAAATCCTTGATCAAATATATATTTTTGTTATAAATCAAGGACAGCTATTCCTAAAAAAATCCAGAACTGCTAGTTTTAGAATTCTTAAAAAACTATTTTTATAAATTTTTGGAAAAATATATTTTAAGAATCCATAACATCCTGGAGGATTTTTTTTTTTTGTTTTTAAACCAGGAGATCCATGATTTTTTTGTAAATCAAGTACAGCTAGACTACAAAATCCCAGGACTATTATCTGAAAATCCTTGAAAATATTTTTTATTCTAGAACTGCTGGTCTCAAAATCCTTGAAAACAATATTTTTTAAATTAGAGAGAAATATGTTTTAATGATCCAGGACATCCTTGAGAAATTATTTTTCTTTAATACTGGAAGTCCTTGATAAAATATGGGTTTTAAACCAAGGATAGCTATTCTTAAAAACCCAGAAAGCTAGTCCTAAAATCCTTGAAAAAGAAATATTTTTTTTTTAAATTTTGAGAAAATATTTTTTCAAAAAATGCAAGACATCCTTGAGGAAATATTTTTTTGTTTTTAAACCAGGAGATCCTTAAAAGTTTTTTTTCGTAAATCAAGGACATCTGGTCTTAAAAATCCCAGGACTGTGTCTGAAATCATAAAATCGTTTGAATTTTTTTTTTAATTTTTAAGAAAATATTTGTTAAGAATACAGGTCATCCTTGAGAAAATATTTTTTTTTTAAACCTGGAGATCTTTGAAAAAAAAAAAATTATAAATCAAGGGCGGCTAGTCTTAAAAATGCCAGGACTGTCAGTTAGAAAATCCGGGAAAATATTTTTGTATCCAGGACTGCTAGTCTTAAAAATCCCAGGATAAAAAGTATTTTTTTAACTATTGAGAAAATATTAAGAATACAGGACATCCTAGAGAAAATATTTTTTTTTAAGGAGATCCTTGAAAAAAAATATATTTGTTTTTAATTTAGGACAGCTAGCTTCAAAAACCATTCTTGGTCCTTGAAAAAATGTTTCAAAAAAAAAAAAAGTCACCA